CCATAATGTTCCCTTTCTCCAGTTGCAAATCTGAAATAATTTGGAACAGGTATTCATTAGGGGTTTTTAATTAAGAAACCAGCTGGTTTTATTGCTTTTAAAATAATGCCCAAAGCCATCTAAGGCTCAAGGCACATATCACATTACATATGAATAGTGGAGTGTCTTCAGTGTAATCTTGTTCAGCTGGAACATGTCCTATAATTTTGGAGTGCCCTGAGAGCAGGGTGGATTTTGAGTCGCTACAAGGTGACGACTACAAAATGGATTTGCAATTTAATTCAAAGGGAAAAGTATAAGGAAAGAGTAAGTTCCTTTCTGCTGAGTCAGGTTATCATGTTAAGTATGTAACACAGTCATTTCAAGAAGATATCAGATAATTACAGGGGGAAAATATCAAAAAAACAAAAAAAACCCACACGGGGATTATGAAACAGATTGGAGCCAATCCCTCTTAAATTACATTTAATGCCAATTTAATGGGCGCAACTTCATTTCCATAATGTGAACATCAGAACAGGCCTTGCTTCCCTTAATTTTCTGCAAAGAACTCAGGCAAGCTTAATAGACAAAAATAACAAAGAGTTATTTTAAATCAGCAAAAGAAAAAACAAGCCAACCTCCCTTTATGTAGCACGGTGCCAGTCCCTCCTCCAAAGGACTCACCTCCATCCTACTGGGAGCACACACAGCTCCTCCTACCACAACTGCACTTCCACAACTGGCTGGAAGCTTGTGCTTGTGTACATGGCTTGCCTGTCCAGAATCCTTTTCGGAGGAGTGAAGTCTGTCCCCTGCCTCTTTCAGCGTGTGACAGTTTTTTCCAGCCAGTCAGCTCTCCTCCCACTATTCATGGTCTATAAGCACTTAAGGCAATTACACATTGTTTTATAACAGCAGAAGAGAAGGAGTCTTGGAGCCTCCTTGAGCAAAACTGGAGAACAGAAGAATTTGTATCTGACTGCTCCACTAAACCTTTGTATCTGGCAATCTGGAGCACTCAGAAAGCAACTGGGTCTCAAAATACAATACTCAGTAGCATTTTGCTTATGCTCAAGTCAAAGAAATGCCTCCACCTCCCACTAGCAAGTTCTTTGGGTTTCAGTGGACTTGAGCATAAGCAAAATGCTACTGAGTATTGTATTTTGAGACCCAGTTGCTTTCTGAGTGCACCAGATTGCCAGGTACAAAGGTTTAGTGGAAACCCTATAGGCTGGCGTTCAATGTCAGGGGTGGGCACTAACAATGGGAAATGGAAAACTTGGGCACTGAGGGGTCTTTATATCTGCCCCAAAATCTCTGAAAGGGTTTGGTGTTGGGTATAAGTAATGTTCAATATCCCTTATTTAAAAAAAAAACCAACATAGCCATCATCCCCTGATTAAGGTCCTCTCATTATAGGCCAGGATTGATGATGTAGCCAGCTCCCGCAATGTCTCTAAGCTGTGTGTTCCCTTATGCTCATTAACTATTAAATTAATTAATTGAAAGAAAGAAATTAACTGAGAACAGCCATTCCTCCAAGTACCATTTGAACTGCACAGAAGGAGTGGATGAGAAAAAAAAGTGATCCTGTATTACAACACAGTAGCTGCAGCCCTGACACATTAATAGCAGCAGCATTTTCTGTCCCTGCATATATATTACACTGCGTGCATCTACACATGCAATTAATGCTATTTGGCTTTACTGGGCGCATCTCCACATTAATTAATGCACTGTATTTGCAGGGCATTAAGTTTAGTACCTGTAATTACAGTACTAACTCAATGCGCAGTAACTGGCACTACCGCACAGTAGCACCAGCGCACACCTTTTAAGTGATGTTAATGTGCAGTAGACTAATTTTACCGTGCATTAGCATATTAGCACAGCTTTTGCCGTGATGCATTAATGCACAGTAGAATTAGTCTACTGAGCATTTAGCATCTCATGTAGGCGTGCCCACGGTTCAGTAACTTTACTGCCCAGTAGACTTAGGCTGTGTGTAGAAGAAATGAGGGGCATGTGTGCACAACACTTTAAAGTGGGTTAAATGCTTTTGCACCACTTTAATGGTGTTGGTGTTTGCATGCGTCGGTGGTATATTGCACAGTACTTCCAGCCGCTGTAGCAAATTTGGTGGTGTAATGTGCCTTACTTGACTTGGGATGCAGCAAACTAAAACTCCTCCGAGTTTTAGTTTGCTGCCTTACAGTGGCAGAGCGAACCACCGGGCTCCGTGCAGCTCAGGGGCTCTGCAAGAAGCCCTGCAGGCAGCCTGGCAGCAGCCGGGAAGGCAGGCTCCAACCAAGAAAAAAAAAAGTGGCGAGCCTGATCTTTTTTTTTCTTTCTTCCCTGGAGCCTGCCTGCCTGAGCTGCATGGGGGGCTGGTGCTTCCCTCCTTGACTGTGGTGCCCCCCAGGACTGCCCAAGCCAGGTGCCTGTGGGTAGGTGCTGCCTATGGGGGAGCCACCACTGTTGCAGAGGGAAACACCGGCCCCATCTGCAGCCCAGGGACTGCTCCACCCGCTGGCAGCTCACCCTCCCCTCCCCACTGCCAGAGAGGCTGGTACGTTCAGCTGTGTGCATGACACGGGGGTCTAAAGGGCCCTAAATCGAAGCGGTGTTTTTAAAAACCCACCACTTCAATTTAGGGCCCCCTTTTCATCTACACACGCCCTTATTTACTGTGCACTAAGCACCTGCACGTGTAAACAGTGATGCTGTACTGTACAGTAGATTAGTCTACTGTGCAGTAAAACATCTTGTGTAGACATGACCACTGAAGGCCAAATCTTGCTTTCAAGTTGCTCTGAAATCATGCTGGGGTCATTCTATTCAGGTGAACAGAGCTGGTCCCACTTGAGAGAGGGGTGATGGAAAGCACAATCTGGCTCTGGGTTTGGAAGCTTCCCATGGCTGCCGCTTCCTCCATTTATAAATGACCCATGAGGAAGGGAGTTGAAGAAGGGAACGGTGCTTTTTTTCCTCCAGCCCTTGCAGTGCTAACATACCTCCTGCCCAATGGGCTGAACAAGGGATCGTGTGAGAACCTGAAATGAGAGGTGCTTTTGTTGGGCAAGGGCTTACACCCTTAATCCCATTATATTTTTATCTATAATAACTGAACATGTTCATCAACTTAAAGGAAATTCAACTAAACTGAGGTCAAGAGGATGCTGAGGTGCTCTGACCCTCCCAAAGATAGTGGCCATTGTGGTTTGCATATTCTTTGCATGAGGCAGTGAGCTTATGAACTTAGGGCATGATTCAACCAGACACAACATTTTTTGAGGTGGGTCCCACAAGGAGAAATCTCATCCCAGGGAGACTGTAAGCAGAACAGCTTTCATCTGACGCCTTATTTGATAGATGTGTTATGCTTGGTTTAACAGGTAGCACACTACCAGCATAAATCATTTATATTGCTTCCAGACAAAGCAAACCCATCAAGACACTCACTTCATCTTTGGTTCCCCGTGTCACCGAACCCAAACACACCTGGAGGCCAATGTGGAGTTTTCTGTTAAATCTATCGAGGTAGAAATTGGCTGAATTTGGGGCATACAATGCAAAGGAAAGGGCACAACGCTAATGTTCGGTCTCCTTAGTTTTCCTCGCACCTCCTGTCTCCCAAGCTTTAATGGTACTTTTTTCCCCTTTGAACAAGCCATATGGTCCCGCAGTTACTTCAGGCCTAGACTTTTCCAATGAAAAAAGCACTTTTAATTGATCCTGGTGAAAAACGCACGTGCAACCTAGATGCTTTCTGTCCTCACTGGGCTGATCCATGTGCAAAGTAATCATATGACTATGTAATTTATTCTCAAAGGGAATAAAGACACATCGCCAAATTTCCAAGGGCACTAAGACAGTGATTGTGATATGCACATGTGCTGCAGACTGTGTTCACTCTGTGTTTTATCAGGGGCTCAAGTACAGAAACTGGTCATAAGCTGCAGGTAGAGCGTATCGGAATATTTTTCTCCCACGGACAATGCCAACAAAAAGATAAAATATTTTTAATCAGCATTTTCAGAGGAAAGTTCCAATTCTGCATGAAAAATATATGACAACTAAAATTTTAGACGAACGATTTCTGCTTCACCAGAGTCTAGGAGGTGCATCATTTGTTGGTGTCCATATGTTGCTAGTCCAAGACTAGGCTCAGTGCTTTACAGACACTAAACATAAAACAGCCCCTGCTTCAAGGCATTTCCAGTATAAGGTAATCATGAAGAACGAATATGAAGTGTGAACAAATTATAGCCTCAAGGAGAACTGTCAGCGTGCATTGCCATCATGCCAGAACAGCTGCTGATCAGCTGTGTTATGCCTGCAGTCCAAAGATCCATAGGACCCTCTTGTCCAGTGTCAGTACCCCATTCATTCAAATTAATTCATGCCCATTTTCTACCTTAATACATCATTTATTTGAGCTACTTCTTCTTTAAAGTGAATGCAGGGTTTTGGTAAAGTAGAAGCTGGCTAATGTTGGATAGGAATACAAGTATTCTACCTCATTTGCTTACTGGCTGCATTAATAAAAGACAAAACAATGTCCCTCCACGGCTCACCCAGATGCAAGTGCAAATTGTTATTGAGATATCTGCAACGGGGATTCTCAAAACCTGGTTCGTAGAATGAAGGATGAAGCATCTTTTTGCTTTGCATTTGTGTAGCTGTCAACTCAAACAAGGTGTCTCCAAAAAGCAAAGCATTTGCTCTGTGTCGGAGCGCTTGCTGGTGGAAAATGAGCAGTTAGAGAACTTTGGGTGGGTTGAAGTGGGTAGATTCACACCAGCTCTGTAGGTGTGTTTGAGTTCGATGAGTGGTTAACGAGTTCAAGGAGACATCTGGCTGCTGGGCATGTCAAAACCATGAAGGCATGGAATTGATCTCTTGGCTCCCAAACCAGGCAAGCCCAGCTCTCCAAAAGGATAAAAGGGGCAGAGTTCATCAGAGGGCTGCACACTCTCTGAGTTTGCTTCTTTGCCACAGAGATCACTCTCGCCGCCATGAGCCGGCAATCCTACAGTATGAGAACCGGAGGTGGGGGCAAGGGCTTCAGCACAGGCTCTGCTATCATTACAAGTGGAAACAGACCCAGCTTTAGCTCGGCCTCTGTTGGAAGAGCTGGAGGAGGTGGAGGAGGCTTTGGAAGGCTTGGTGGAGGGGGTGCAGGCGGCAGCGGTGGCTTTGGCACTAGGAGCCTCTATAGTCTTGGTGGTACCAAGAGAATTTCCCTCGGTGTTGGCAGTAACCTACGGAGCGGATTTGGCGCTGGAGCTGGGGGAGGCCTAGGTTTCAGCAGTGGAGGCGGTGGGGGGGTTGGCTTCGGTGGGGGAGCTGGTGGGCTTTTTCTCAGTGGAGGAGGCGGAGGTGGTGGATATGGTGGTGGATATGGCTTTGGTCCTGGTGGGGGCCTCGGCTTTGGTGGTGGGCCTGGTGGTGGAGGGGGACTTGTTTTCGGTGGAGGACACAGTGGGGGCAGAGGACCAGCAGGGTTCGGCAGTGGCACACCTTGTACTGGTACCATCCAAGAAGTGACCATCAACCACAGCCTTCTCACACCCCTGAACTTGGAGATTGACCCCAACATTCAGCAGGTGCGAAAAGAGGAGAAGGAGCAGATCAAGACCCTCAACAACAAATTTGCTAGTTTCATTGACAAGGTGAGACTTGAACAAATAGTACAGTAATGACTCTGGTAAAATAATTTGGATGGATAGATGCATGGATGGACGGATGGCTAAAAAAAAAAATCCCATTTTCATAATGCACAATGTACGGATATATAATTTAATGAATCTCTCATCTGGCAAACATTTCCTATTTGCATTTATTGATTAAGAACCTCCAGATAATGAAAGTGTTTCTCAATAGATACCAAAAAACAAAATTTTTCCATGGCTGATCTTGTAAATTGGAAACATGTTAGATTCCTCCCTCTTCCACCGTGCCAAAAAAGGTCTAAGCAGTGTACTAAATTATTTTATGCTTTTCTGGAGAAAAATGTGAAAGGCCAATGAAAAATGTCACTCCCCTCTGAAATGGCCATTTAGTCTTACCTATCTCCTACCGTTGGACCACATGCCAACATCCTTCCCTAGAGTGCTTTCTGGATGTGCTTACACTGCATACCACACTGCAATGTAGACTACTTCTAAGCACGCTAAGTCAGACCTTGGAAGCCATCTAGCTGCAAATTGATGCATACGGAGCTTTGTGTTGCTGCCGTTAAAGTGCTCCGACTCCCTATGCTAGCTCGTTTATGGACTGACTTGGTATTTTTGGTTTAATACTTCCTCTCTGGTCCTGAAATGACTCCAGCCTTTGTGGTACTCAGAGTGGAATTTCCTTTTCTGAAATGACTGATTTCCCCATTGTCAACCCATCGAAAAGCACCTGCCATTAAATGTCTTTTGCTTCCTGGGTCTCAGGTCCGGTTCCTGGAGCAGCAGAACAAGGTGCTGGAGACCAAGTGGGCCTTGCTGAATGACCAGGGTCAGAAATCCAGTTTGAGCAAAAACAACATGGATCCTCTCTTTGAGGCTTATATCAGCAACCTGAAGAAGCAGCTAAACAGCCTTTTAAATGAGAGGGGGCGTCTGGATGGCGAGCTGAAGAATATGCAGGATCTTGTGGAGGACTTTAAGAACAAGTGAGTGAATGGTCAAATGCAGGACATGCAAGTGATCTATGCTAGGAAAGAGGCCTCCAGACCAACTCACGGGAGATGTGTTTGTAACAGTGAGGTTGGCTTAAACAATTCTTGCATTCCTACCTGTACCATCCATGCTAATAGCTTCAATTGAGAAGTAATCCAGTGCTGCTTCTCTGCAGATATGAAGATGAAATCAACCGGCGCACAACGGCGGAGAACGAGTTTGTGGTCCTCAAGAAGGTGCGTGATGCGAACGGTGACACCAAAGCTGAGATTAATCTAATTTCTCTCAGTATGTTGGTCCTGATGGCTGGGGTGGCTGTAGGGATTTGCAGTCCAAATCTCACTGAAATGCATCCTGCCCTTCCCTAGATAAGGGTAAATACTGGTTTGTCCCACTTTGAGGACCATAAGGGCTGGATGTATGCACACCCAGCCTCCTGACAAGCACAAGGCAGCTGTCCTGGGCTCTGAAGGCTGAGCGTGGGTGTGAGAGTGAGAGCCGGCTCAGAAATCTTCCATGCCCCAGAGACTATACAGGCAGCTGGGGAGGACAATGTGCAAAATCCCATTTCCCCCTGCAAGCTTTCACACTGCTGTTTTGCCTGAGGGTATCATGAAGCCTCTGCAGCACAGTCCCCCTATTTTGCTTTCTGCTCATGCGTGGACCTCCTCCAGACCGCTATAAACTCTGTGCACTTTTTTAGCAATCTCAGTAGGAAGAAAGGCAACATTTGGCCTATGGACATCAATGCTGCATGCAGCATCAAGGCAAGCGGGTGGAAAGGCACTCTGCAGGGGAGGAAAGGCAGGTTGGCCTTCATGCTTGCTCAGTCCCTGGCTTTGGCTGTCACTGTGGTTGCTCTTTTTTTAGGATGTGGATGCTGCCTACATGAACAAGGTGGAGCTGGAGGCCAAGGTGGACGCCCTCATGGATGAGCTCAACTTTCTCCGAGCTCTCTACGATGCGGTATGGGTTCTCCTCATTGGCTTTTCTCTGGGAAATGAGCTGTGGCCCTCAGGAAGTGGCTTACTGTGTAGAGGCTTGTTGGTATTACCCGTGTTGGTCTAAGGATGTAGGCTGACAAGGTTCTTTGGGTAGATGCGATATCCTTTATTAGCCCAACTAAATAGTTGGAAAAATTATCCTTTGCACGCTTTCAGGTACAAACACCTTCTCCAAGCATAGGGAAAGTCTGTTGGTGTTTGTCTGCTCCCCTGGGTAGAATAGAAGCCAAAATGCAAAATGCTGGCCTATGAAAATGCAAATGCGTCGCAGGAAGGTTCAAAGGGAAAGGGAGAGAATACGTATGAAAAGGTAGACAACTCCCTCCAGGTGGGGAGGGGTCTATTCTGTTGGAGAGAGAGATGGGAGGAAGAAGCATGGTCCTACTTAGCAGGGCTGTTCTTGGCAGCAGCTACTGAGGCTGCGGCTGTGGCTGTGGCTGCGGATGAGGCTGCAGCTATGGCTGTGGCAGCTCCGATTGCAATGCAGGCTTTGGATACTGCAGCCTAGAAACAGGCAGTGGTGCAGGTTCCTGGAGGACCTACCTGGTCCCCTGTTCCCTCACCCTCAGCCATAGGGCTGTGCCCTCCATGGCAAATACAGTGCTGAGTTCGGGGTCTTTGCCTGCCCATGGCTAGGCAATGGCTGTGAGGAAGGGGCCACACTAGATCTGGTGGCCTGCTCGCTGCCCCCTTAGTTACACTACTGTTAACATGTGTGGGAAGTCAGGCCATCAGAGGAGACCACTTGGTCTAGCAGTTTCAACTTCTGCTCCTCCCTCTACCTGCTTATTAGGGCTGTGCGAGGCTTCGGACCGTGATTCAGATCCAGAGAAGCTTCGGATGATTTGGCGTCCGAAGCAGCATGTCTGGATCGAAGCATTAGCTTTGTTAGGCTTTCCAAAGTGGTTTGGAGCTTCCGAACCACTTCGGAAAAGCTTCAGAGCCGCTTCAGAGATCCGGCCATAGGGTATAAGGGGGGGATCAATGAAATATCTATAACTGTTGTTTTTTGTCTGATTTGGATGAAACTTGCAGTGGTGGTAGCCCCTGGTAAGACCACGAAGCCTGACAAATTTCAAGATCCGTGCAGGGGTTTGGGGGGAGCTGCACCTCAAGGTGCAGACAAGCATAACTCATGCCATGGGTGACACTGTGTGTGTTACGGTGCCGCAGGGTGAAAGCTGCAGGGATGGTGGCCCCTGCTATGGCCGTGATGCCTGCCAGCTGTCAAAGAGATAGATGTAGGGCTTCTGGGCTCTGGGGCCCTGCACCTCTAGCTGCTGACAGGCAAAACTCGTGACATGGGTGCTTGTGCAACTGACTGTCTGTCTTGGGGCAGTTGATTGTCTGTATTAATTATTTTCTCTCCTTAGTCTGTGGTTTTATAGGTGTTAATTAGGTGTTAACAAGTTAATTCACAAGGATTAACACCTACAAAATCACAGACTAAGGAGAGGAAATAATCAATACAGACAATCAACTGTCCCAAGATAGAGACAGTCAGGTGCACAAGCACCCGTGTCATGAGTTTGCCTGTCAGCAGTTAGAGGTGCAGTGCCCCATGGGCCCATCACATTCCCATGGATGGAAGTGCCCAGGCCACCACGGGCCCATCACGCTCCCATGGATGGGGGGCCCCAGAAGCCCCCCTGCACCGATCTTCTTGGAAGCTGGCAGGCTTCTCACTATGGGTTCATACAGTGGGGTCTGCCTCCTACATGCTACAAAAATGCAAATAGATGACCTTGTAGTGCAATGAGGAAAGGATTGTCACTGAGGTTTCTAAGCATGTAACTTCTTATAGCAACTGCAGAAACTCCAAATCGTTCATGTTTAGATTTCTCAGACTGTTGGACGATCCACATTCACCCGCCCTGAGCAATCTCAAATACTCTTCTTCTATTGTGCATCTGCCTCTTAAATAAAAGTATGCTAAGAATCAGGGTTATACCTTTTCTTCATCTGGAATAGTCTCATAGAATCTGACAAAATCAGAGTTGGAAGAGTCCTCAGGTCACATCTAGTCCAACCCCCTGCTCAAAGCAGGACCAGCCCCAACTGCATCATCCCTGCCAAGGCTTTGTCTAACTGGGTCTTAAAAACCTCCAATGATAGAGATATCTCATAACTTCTCTGGGTAGCCGGGTCCAATGTTTTACTAACCTCTTAATGAGAACATTTTTCCTAATATCCAAACTCTACTTCTCTTGCTGCAACTTGAGCCCATTGCTCCTTGTCCTGTCATCTGCCCCCACTGAGAACAGTCCAGCTCTATTCTTTTTGGACCCACCCTTCAGGGTGTTGAAGGCTGCTATTAAATCCCCACTCAGTTTTCTCTTTTCTAGACTAAATAAGCCCCGTTCCCTCAGTCTCTCCTCATAAGTCATGTGCCTCAGCCTCCAAACCATTTTTCTTGCCCTCTGCTGGGCCCTCTCCAGTCTTTCCACATCCTTTCTGTAGTGGGGGGGCCCAAAACTGGACACAGGACTCCAGATTTGGCCTCCCCAGTGCTGAATAGGAGGGGAAAAATTCTCTTTGGCATCTTTATAGTCACTCTGGATTTATACAGGCACAGCCAACACTATAATCCAACCACAAACTGCTTTGAAAAATAGATTACTTTGCTCCCTTTAAATCCAGAGCACCTGAGTGAACACATATGGACTTTCTCCTGATTGACACCTGAGTAGGAGCATCAATCAGCATCTGCAAAGGCAAGTGGTGGTATTTGGGTGACACCCATGTACTTTATGCAGGAACTGGCCCAGCTGTCAGCACAGATGTCTGACACCTCTGTCATTCTGTCGATGGATAACAACCGAGACCTGGACCTCAGCAGCATCATCACTGAAGTCAAAGCTCAGTACGAGGACATTGCTAACCGGAGCCGAGCGGAAGCTGAGGCATGGTATCAGACGAAGGTGAGCAGGAAACACGGCTGCCTTTTATCATGATCTTCTGCATGTGCAGGTCCTTTTAAGCAGGCACAGCTGCAGTGGCACTGTGATGTTATAGCTGTAGGAGCTGCAGCCTGCAAGAGGAGACTTGTGGCATTTGAGGTGTTTGCTGCCTTCCCGTTCCTTCTGAACAGATGGAGGTGTCTCTACATCCACGTGTGGCTGCTCAGCAAGTGTACTTCATGGCTGGGCATTTATCTTTTCACTCTTCCTTCCGCATTAGTTTGAGGAGCTGCAGGCCACCGCCGGGAAGCACGGAGATGACCTGCGTAACACAAAGGGAGAAATCTCAGAGCTCACCCGGCTGATCCAGAGGATACGGGCAGAGATTGAAAATGCAAGGAACCAGGTAGGCATAGCAATGCTGGGCACTGGCTAAAAGAGCAGGTAACCCCGTGTTTTCCTTTTGCTAGCAAAAGGAAAACACGGGGTTACCCGCTCCTTTAGCCCATCTGTTGTGCTAGCTGCAACCGTGTTAGGATGTAATAGTTATTTTAGCTATTGGAGCTCTTTGCTTTCCTCCCAGTGGAGGCAGTGTTGTTCTCTCTCTCTCACACACACACACACACACACACACACACACGCACACACACACACACACACACACACAGAGTGCGTATGCAGCAGAAGTGAACATGGCTAGTAACTAAACCTAGATCAGTTAGAGAATATACTGGGCTGGACAGTTCCTATAACTTCGGGAGGCTTCCTAAAGAGTGGAGTGTGGAAGGAGTATTTTTCTCACACCTCTGTGGTCCTGCCCCTTCCCCTCACTACCTCTTCTTGCCTCCAAATTGACCCCCCTTTTGGGGTGCAGCAGTGCTGCTCTGGAGGCCTTGAACAACCCCTTGCCCAGATATTCCCAGATCAGCACCAAGGCGCACCAGCCTCCGGTCACCTCCTTTGCTTTGAATTCCACATGGATAAAGGAGGGAGAGATGGGGGAAACCCACACAGAGAAATGACTGGCAAGTCAAAGGAACCCCATTGCCTTCCCCTGCAGTGTGCCAACCTGCAGACAGCCATTGCAGACTCAGAGGAGCGCGGAGAGCTGGCCCTCAAGGATGCCAAGCTCAAACTGGCCGAGTTGGAGGATGCCCTGCAGAAGGCCAAGGCAGACATGACCCGCCAGCTGCGGGAATACCAGGAGCTGATGAACGTCAAGCTGGCACTGGATATTGAGATCGCCACCTACCGGAAGCTGCTGGAGGGCGAGGAGAGCAGGTGGGTGGCACTAATCATCTCTAATCCTCTAGTAATAATAATGCTTATGACATAGTGGCTGGTGCAGATTGCTATATATAAGTATTTTGCAAGCATTGGGAAAGTCTCATGATCCTTATTGCACAGGCAAGGAAACAAAGGCAGAAAGACACTCACAAGGAAGAGCACAGCATAAATCCCTAGATGAATGGACAATTAAGGAGAGAGAGAACATGGTAATACAATATAATTAGGGTCAGAGTTTTAAAGGGTTTATCATTTCGGGGGCAAATAAGCACCTTGTGTTTTTTCAAAAGCACTGAGGCCTTTATCCCACTAAGGCACTCCTGTGTACTTAAGGGCACCTACATCCCTTCAAACATCTGGTTTAGGGTCTCCCTAGATCTTGGTTGCCCCTCTGTAAAAGATGGATAATGGAGAACAAAGGTGTTGGGCAGCTGCATGCATGGAAGTTGGTTAGATACCAGTGTAGGACAATAATGAGCCAAGTGCTACAGATGGATGGATATAGAGTTGGAAACATTAAGAAGACAAGGCCTGAGCATGGCAAGACTGCAAACATGCTGGGCAAAAGCAGCAGCAGTAATGAATGTCACCACAGGTTGATGCACATGTGGATTTCAAATGTCTCTCCTCCACCTTATGCCTCTCTACCTTCTCCAACAGGCTGAGTGGTGACAGTGTCGTGCCCGTCAGCTACTGTAAGTACTTGAAGCAGTCTTATCTGGGTCAGTGCTTCCCCACCCCATGCTAGTGGGGAAAAGTGTGGGACTTTTCCCCACTCCAGTAGGAGGAACATGTGGGTCTTTGTCCCTTAAGCTAAGGGGCTTGCTATAACTGCAAGCTGTAGGACTTAACTTCTCACCGGAAGTGGTGGAGAGTCATGCTTTTAGTGCAGGTGGCTCTATCCCTACAATTGTTCCCAATAAGGCCAAAGAGTAGAGTTTCAGGAACCCAGTGGTTGGCAGGGTATTGGACTCTCTTGTGGTTTTCTTACAGCTGTGGTCAGCTCCAGCCCAACAGTCAGCAGTGGAGGTGGACTGGGAGGAGGATATGGAGGACTTGGCCTAGGAGGTGGCGGAGGAAGCGGCTTTGGTCTTGGAGGTGGTGGAGGGTTCGGCTATGGAAGCGGAGGTGGACTTGGCCTTGGAGGTGGAAGTGGCGGAGGTGGACTTGGCTTTGGAGGTGGAAGTGGCATTGGCCTTGGATATGGAAGTGGTCTCAGCCTTGGCTTCGGTGGTGGAAGCAGCTTTGGCCTTGGCTATGGAGGTGGTGGCGGCAGCGGGCTGAGCGCTGGAGGAGGTAATTTCAGCTCTGGAAGTGCAAAAGGCAGTGGGGCTGGAACCGCCCCAGGTGTGAAAATTGTCTCCAAAACCTCTACCAGCAAAAAGAGCATCAAAAGTCAGAGCTTGAAGAATTTACCCCAGCCCGAGTAACGCGGGGCTCACAGTACTCCCGTGTGGGGATGGCACTGCGCAGCACCCCATGACTGCTCCTGCACTACTTCTTAAAAGTTTTGCTCCTAAATCAGGGAAGCAAAGCTTGTGTTTTCTCAAAGGGACTTAAGTACTGAAAGTTTCTCCCGTGCTCAAGTGCTTGAATTGGGAGCCTTTGGGTATTTCTAGACAGGGAATAAATGTGTGCGTGTAATGCAGGTTGGTTCATCTGAGTCAGCAGCTGAGGGGAAAATGGCAATAAAGATAAAATAACCATGGGTTTTAACCTGGCTTACAATATCTAGCTTGAGCTGACAGAAGCTTGGGGGTTGGACTCGAGCTGCCAACCTGACTTAAAAGCCAAGAGATGTCCTCTTCACTGCTGCTGTTGCTCAAATGACCTAGCTAGGCTTGGGTGACCCTAGTTACAAACACATTTCTTTGTAGGCTAGACATACCCTTTGTTGCATTCTGTAGCCCAAAAAAAAAGCCCCAAAACCAAAACAAGCCAATATTTTCAAATCCAGGGAACCCAGGGAGAAATTTTCAGAAAAACCTAACAAATATAGGAGCCCATCTTCAATTAGAAAGTCATTAGGGCTTAGGCCCTAAATTGCTTTAATGTTTGAAAAAAAAAACCCGTCCCTCCTCCCATCCCTTTTTTGGACTTTTAAAATAAATGACCTCGTTTTCACAGAGGCTTGAATGTCCGCCCCTGTTTCTGAAGTCAGCAGAAGCTGAATAAACCCATCAATTCCCCACTACTTAGAAACTTATTGCAGCTACTGAAGATGCCCATGTTTGAAAATGTCGGCCCCAGCCATAGCAATCCCTTTAAAAATGGTTTAACTAGAAAACTAGCCCAGGCATTTCTTAGAAAGAAAATTTGCTCTTTGGTGACATGGGTTCACAACTAAACCAAAGGCAAACATTCAGTTTATCAAGCGGCATGTGTGTCATCTTGTGGTCATGTTTCATCAAAGGATGTAGATTAGGGGCGGGTAATGATTTCTGGCAGAGGGCCACTTATTGAATTTTGGCAAGCCATCGAGGGCCGCATGATAGGCAGCCGCGGGCAGGTAAATATTAATTTTCTAAATGTTTTAGGGGCCCCGCGGGCCGGATAGAATGGCCTGGTGGGCTGCACCCGGCCTGCGGGCTGCATTTTGCCCACCCTGATATAGATAGAAATGACCCTGTCTGTTTGTATAAGAACTCCATTTTTAACTTACTTGGATTTAGAAGAAAATCCTCAACTGCGGCAGAGATGGTTTTCCAAAAGAACAGTTATTTAATACATACATGATGAAATGCAGCAGCTGGAATCAGCTCTGCCTCGAGCAGGGCTTTATGGGTAACATTTTCAAAAGTAATAAAATCATTTACAAGCCAAAATCCGGTGAACTTTCCAAGGACTTTGGCTCCTAAGCGATTTAGGTGCTCTTGAAAAATTTCCCCTTTCTATGCTCATAAAAAGATAAAGGTTAGGATTACCAAAAGCTGCTGAAGGTAACATTTTCAAATGAGCATACATGGTTCCTTAACAGTATTTCCAAAAGGCACTGGGGCACTTAGGTCCAAGCTTCACGATGCCTAAGTCACTTTTGAAAATAGGACTCACGTGCTGGATTTTTAAAGGTATAGGGACCTAAATACAGACACAGGTATTTAGTGTCTAGGAACCTAACTCCTACTTAAAGTCATCAAAATGACACTAACAGTATCTTTAGACTCCTGAATTCCTTTAAAAATCTGGCCCCAGGTTCCTAAGTCCCATAGTCTTTTGAAAATCCTGCCCAAGATCTATGCCTCAGAGCTTATACTCAATCATAAATGACAGAAAAAAGAGAGGGGCTGGATTTTTGTTTTTAAACTTTTATTAGAGTCATTATTTTTCCCCAATAGGGCCATGTTAATGCTGATTAATGTAATATTGTCCTTTTAGGATAAACCGATGACATGATACTATGCTTCTAATCACTTTAGAGGTTTCAAATTCAGTCAATACAGGGGGTAGAAAGGAATTTTTATCTATAGGACTCAGGTTCTGGTATTAGTCACATCTGTTAAATCTGGAATATGCTCATTCATTTAAGTGGAGTTTTTCCATATTTGTAATGAAATTCTGAATCTGACCCACCAACACAAGAGAAAATTAGTTTAGAAGTGACTTCTTTTGAATGTGTTCATCAGGTTTCCAGTAGCCGAGACACAGCAAACATATCCAGATCTACTCTCTAGTAAAAATTACTTTGAATAAACTGCCTTAAGGCATCATTTCCAGTTTATAAATGCCAGGTTTGTCGCTATAAAATTCCTCCTTGTCTGTTTTCTGACTGCACAATTTAAAACGTTAAAGCTTTTCTAACTCTTCGTGACTAATAAGCCTACTCTGTTGTTCCCTCTTCACCTTCTTGAATGTTTCTAATAAAATGGGATTGTAATTTATGAGATGTGTGTATGGCCTATTCTTCCCTAGAGGTGTTTTGTTAGAATAAGATATTTCTGTATCGTTCTCAACACAGCGACCTACTGTTAATGAGTAGGACTTGTTGGAAATACCTCCTCTGGGACAATGTTAAACTCAGGTTTAAACTGAAAATGAAGCATTTCCTTTCAGCTTTGGTCATTTTGGAATGGAGTTTGGGGGGTTTTGCCTTTCAAAACCAAAAGTATTTCATTCAAAAGCTAAATAATGGTGCCTGAAAAAGGGGAGAGGGGTGTCCAGGCTTTTGTTTTCCTCCTTTTGCAAAAAAGGTAAGACTACTGATATTTTTAGCTTTGCTAAAAATTGACCACCCTAAACCCCCAGGTATTCAGATCCCATTGCGTTTTACTGGGCGTTGGGCTCCGCACTCTTTCAACGTGTTTAAAAAAATCCCAGCCTTATATAAGACAAGGCAAAAAAAGGCACGATTTCATAATGCACATTACAAAGCAAGACAGCACTTGTTTGTGCAGCTATTTCAGAAATGCAGAGTTATTATTTTATCTTAATAACCTTCCGCTCCTTTGACTGCCACAAGCAGAACAGAGGGATGTCTCCACATGTTGTTTTAGTTTCTTCTTAAAGAATCTCCTGCCTTTTTGTAATTACAATAAATGAGGATGAGCTCATCTTAACACGATAGTCCGTCTGAGTGGCCTGGCCTGAAGAGAATGGGAGCAGAGAATCAAATCCAGTCCCAGGGAATTTAAATCTAGGAATTAAAAAAAAAAATCAATATACCGGATGAGTACAATATGCCCATGAGAAAAAGAAAGGAAAACAAAAATAAAATAAAAAACTCCAAAACTGTTGTGACTTTGGTACTAATCATTATTATAATATATTTTAATGCATTCTATTACCATGTATTACAATATAATTGAGATCCCAGGTCAGTTCAGAGACCCATTTCGACAGGCACTGGATTGAATTGTATTAGTAGATGAAAGCTTGATTTTTTTTAATAGATGAGTATTCTGCACAGTAAAATAGTCCTATCCCTAAAGAATTTACAATTTAATGAACAGAGGCAAAAGGCAGGAAGGGAAGCAGATGAGAAAAGTAACTTTAGGGTGACTCAGAAAGTCAGCGGTAGATCCAGGAAGAGAATCCCTCTCTCTTGACTCATAGTCCCATGTTCTAGCTATTAGACCAGGGCATCTCTTAAAGGGATTAGGCTGTGGTACAATGTCTCCCTGTACCTTAGGAACCACCATCCACATGGCAGTTACTGGCCAAATTACAACAGTGAAAACCTGGATTAACCATGAAACCGGTCTGGTTTGAACCTGTAAAATCATTGGCTGACTCCACCCACTTGCTTGGTACAAAGAAGACATAGCGATATAAAACCCAGAAATGCTTAGAGCAAAAAAGATGACCACTTAACTCACCTCCCACCTTGATGAGACAGGCCACTTGTTTTGGGGAATAAATCATCTTGACTCTTCCCAGGAGAGGCGAATCACACACCACCCAAATGGTGAACGAAACCTGGATCTCGGAGGCACATGCAAACCTCTTAGGCTACATCAGGGGCGGGCAATTATTTTGGGCGGAGGGCCGCTTACCGAGTTTTGGCAAGCCATCGAGGGCCGCATGACAGGCAGTCAGGAACAGATAAATATTAATTTTCTAAATTTTTTAGGGGCCCCACGGGCTGGATAAAATGACCTGGCAGGCCCTAAATTTTTTAGAGGCCCCACGGGCTGGATAAAATGACCTGGCGGGCCGCATTTGGCCCGCGAGCCGCATTTTGCCCACCCCTAGGCTTTGGCCCGCGAGCCGCATTTTGCCCACCCCTAGGTTACATAGTAGAGGGAATGTATTTTCTTCCCATTGACCATGATGAATAACTTTTCAGGGAGAGGAAATTTTACTAAAGTAAAACTGAATTTGGACTGAATTTGGGAAACTCCCTCTGGACATTGGAGAGGAAAACTTTCAGCTGTTTCTCTCTAAAGGAAAGCAGAGTAAAGCAAAGCTAGAGGTGTGCCTGCATGCGGCGAGGGAATGCAGAGAGAACTGAGTGTTAAGCACCCTACAATGCCAAGTGCACGCATTGGCCATTGTGCACCAAGCACAGCACAAGATCTTCTGAGCATCTCCATCAGTGACCCTGACGTGCCTGCCCACTTAGGCAGGGAGGAGGTTGCAATGACTTCATTGAAGCAGTTATTACGCCTCACCTTGAGCAGCCGTGAGCAATTCCATCTCCATTTATATCTAATGGGGAATACCCAGCACCTGGCAGGGCAATGAAGCAAAACTGGTTACTAATACTGTTGCTGGAGTATTTGAAAAGGTCATTTTTTAATAGAAAACAATGCCTTGGAGCTAAGACAAAATCCATATTTCAAGACGTTACAGATTTATAAGTTCCTTAAATGTGCATCTAAATAGAAGTGGTCTTGATTTGTCACGAATCCTATTCCAAGCTCCCTTTGAAATCGCTGTTTGGGCGACGAAGAATGAGTGGTATCAATCCATTTTACATTCCTGGTTGCTTTAAGGAAAGCTTAAAAAGCCACAGGCTAATGTTTCTATGCATTTTTTTTTGGAAGAACCTCCAAAGAGAGCCTGCCGAGAGCCCGAAGTTTCTTAGAAAAGGGCACATCTTGTTGCCTGGCGTTTGTACAACACGCAACACACAACTGTGATGGAAATCAATACTCATGATCACGCTGATGAAAATACCTCATTGACATCAGAGAAAAAGAAAAAAGTGATAAAAAGCAAGACTGGGTAAGCACCTAAAACTAGCAGGGTTGAGTCTCCTTGCGTTTAAACAGATATAAGGGAAAAGTGACTTCCTGGAAGTCCCTAGAGCTATGCCAGAACCATAAGTTGGTCCTTGATAACATATGCTGTACTTAATGGGAGAAAGCATTACATGCCAAGGTAAAAGTCAGCTCCAAGGCAACTTTTTCCATGTTCTGAAGCAAAGTCCAGCTGGCTTGATGGTGCAAATCATCTTTCCTGGTGATGATAATGTAGTTACTCATGTAAGCCAGTAGGACATACACGAGTACAGAGAGCACAGACGGGGACTTTGCAAAATGACTGGACAACTCATGTTAGAACAAAGGACCTGCCTACCTTACCCATGCCGCTCAATAGATATGTGCCAAGTTAGAGCCGTAGGTGATTTGACTTTTGAAGTTAGAGAAAGATAAATATTGACACATTTAAGCTATTTGTGACATGAAAAGCTATGGAAATTAGTCAGAAAAGGGTTCCACACAACTGTGGTTACACTATTCCCAGTACTCAAACTGCTATAAAAGTGACTTTACATATCTCCTTTATTATGGTATTAAAGAAAGAAGACATCATTTCTTTTTCTGGAGCTCTACAAAGCCAATGCATGTTGTAACGTATGATGGTGCATGGCTACAGCACTTTGTGGATTGATGACATGGGAGCTGGGGTAATTTTTTTCAGATAAGCTTTAGATGTCAACTATAATATAAGAAATTGGACTTAATTTACACTCTTGATATTACAGCACCCCCTTGCTACCATACAAATATATCCAGATCATTGGATTTTCTGTTAAGACACCATTTCAAATAATTAATTTTCTAATGTCTCACTAGAATGAGCTTCAGGTGGTAATGACTCATATTATTGGCAGTAAGGTGTGCCAGGCATGATTGAAGATGATGGATTATGCAAACATCAGGGCTTCTGATTGCAATTAAAAGGGAAAAAAAAGCCCAGCCGTTGAAATTCAGGTTCTTTCAAGTTCTGAGACAAAGGAAACTGCTTTTGGAAGCTTACCAACAGAAAACAAGCTGCAAGACGATGCAGATACCCTTAAGCCGCTAATTTTGGATTGAAAATCAGTGTTTGCTCATTCAACTGGCTCTACCAAAAAAAATCTCACTTGTTGAGTTATACAGGGTCCAGTCTGCCTGGCTTACAGGGTACAATATCTCACTTTACAAATGGTCCCCTTGCCATCATAACGGAGTCGCTGTGCAATAAGGCAGCGACCACAGTGAAGTATGCTTCAAGATGGGCACAACAATGAAGTAGTGTGCATATCGAAACGACACCTTTTTTTGGGTAACTGTTGGCATTGTGTTTCAAACTGATCTCTTTTTAAGGTGTATTTTGTACCATACTTCACCTCTACTCTTAAGGTTGAGACAGTACTGTAGCATGACTGTTGGTATGGTATTTTGTTCCACTTTAAGCTTGAAAGCAATACCGTATTTCTACTCTCAGATTTGAGTCCGTAACTTGTAACTAGCAGTATTTCACTTATTTTCACCAATTTGGCTATCTGAATGGCTTTTTAGAAAATGCTTTGCAGGGAGGTTTGAATAAGAAAGGGCGTGCTATAACATACACCAATGACTTAGAAAATGATGCAGTGTTGCCAAATTTTGCAGAATAGTAGCTAAAGAACCACGGTAAGACGAACCAAAAAAAGGCACCATAAAAATATTGTTTCACAATGAGATTTACTCATTCATTTTGAGAATTGACTCTTACTGGACACAACTCTCCTAGAAAACAGTGCCCTATGTGTTTTTTCAACTGGCCAACCTATAGAATTTAAAAGAGAAATCCATTTTCTCATATGTATATGCAATAGGCAAGGATTTTGGGGGGTGATGGCTTTTATTGGACCAAATGTATGGCTGGGATAAAGTTAGGCAAACTTTTGAATGCAAGACATTCTTCATCAGGCTTTCTTCAAATGCAGGCATTCAAAACCTCCTCTAACTTTGTCGCAGTCGTGCAGTTGGTCCAATGAAAGACATCGCCACAAAAATAAAAAATCCTTTCCTTGTCCATAATTCCTGGACCATCACGGCTACATTAGTCCAATACTTCCAAAATATATTTGCCCGGGAAGTTTCAAACAGCCTATGTATCCTGCAGTGAACTCCAGAGACCTGTTCATCAGCTGGCATAAATTAACACACCTCATTGTTTTTACGGTGGAAAATTATTGGCATATAAATCATTAGAGTAATTTGTATAGACCACTGTTGGCTTCGGGGATATTCCATAAAAAGCCAGTTAAATGTGACAATGCTACCCAATGCAGCATAGACTTTGTTGGGAAAGGCAACAAACTCTTAGATCCTGTTAACCGCGCTACATAACTCCATTCTTAAATCTGTCCTAAGATGCAGAGATACCATAGCAGTGCTATGATAGTGGAGGTGTGATAGTCAGCAAACTTTGAGTTCGCTGGGTTGATCTGTCCGACGCCTTCCAATGTTTCTTGCACTTGCCGCCAATTTTTTTAAATAATCAAATATAAGCAGACATTAAAAATAAAAACTTGAGGCTGAGATTTTCCGAGTCAATTAGAGAAGCTGCACATCCCATTCCTACTAGACTGGATGGGAATTGGTCATTTATATTCTTAAGAAGTCTTTGAAAACCTCAGCCTGCTTGCTAAGGTGATCTTTTGACATGATGTTCTTTGCGGTAAAACTTGTAGCCACACAATGTACTAATGACGATCCCTGTCTTGCAAAGACTTGAGCAGGGAAGCAGCTTTACTTCCATGAGTAAGCCTCTTGAAATGACAGGAATGGCTTAGGGGGGAGTAGTGCAACTCACAGGATCTCTGCAGACTCACATATGCTGTCCTGAATCCGCTGCAGAATCAGGCCCGCAGTCTGGTTTAATTAACAACTCAAAACAAAAATGTCCTATGGGAAGGAGAGCTCTATCACACCGTTACTTTCTTGCCTGCAAACAATGCATTTTTCAGCCCTGTGCTACTACCGAGGTATGTTGGGGGAGGCAAGTCGCTGCAAGGCACGTCAAGTCTGCAGCTGTAGTAGATCGTCCCATGACTCGTGCCAAGTTTCCCAAGCAAATAAAAGAGGGAGGCACTCCCAGCTCTTGCACCAGAAGGGTTCCAGCTCCTTCATCCTCTGCTCTTCTCCCTCAGCTTAGCTTTTTTAGTGCTTTGAGTCTCTCCTGCTCTTTGTCTTTTCTAGTAAGCCAGCCATCATGACCACGCGCACTTCAGTCAGGAGCTCCATGGGAGGGGGAATCAAGGGCTTCAGCTCAGGTTCTGTTGGGCTAGGAAGTGGCTTTGGCGGCGGTGGGGGCAGAGCAAGCTTCAGCTCTGTCTCCCTCTCTCGAGTTGGAGGAGGGAGGGCTGGCGGCTTTGGTGGTGGAGCTGGAGGAGGCTTTGGCAGCAGAAGCATGTACAATGTAGGTGGAAGCAGAAAAGTATCCTACGGTGGAGGTCTACGGACTGGATTCGGTGGAGGATATGGCTTTGGTGGAGGAGCAGGCATGGGGGGTGGTTTTGGTGGAGGTAGTGGCCTTGCATTAGGTGGAGGTGGCGGTGGAGGTGCTGGCTTTGGCATGGGTGGCCCAGGCTTTGGCATGGGCGGCCCAGGCTTTGGATATGGAGGCCCAGGTTTTGGTGGCCGAGGTGGCCCTGGGTTTCCCATCTGCCCACCTGGTGGTATCCATGAAGTGACAGTCAACCAGAACCTCCTGACACCGCTCAAGCTGGAGATTGACCCGGAGATCCAGAGAGTGCGATCACAGGAGAGGGAGCAGATCAAGACCCTCAACAACAAGTTTGCATCTTTCATTGACAAGGTGAGGACCTATCTTGAATCTACAGTCTGTCTGAAACATTTTCTGTAGAGGTCAGAGTCTTCAAAGGAGGGAAAATAGAGACCAAAGTCCTGTGCCATTAGTATGGGCCGTTTAGGGAATTTCCATATGCCCCAGAGCTAGCCGCAGACAGCAGCATTTTGTTGCTAGGAAAAGTCGTGGCAGAAAAACTGGGATTTGTCTTAAACATTCATGTTGCAGAGAAGCACTGCTTTTCAAACTCCGTTTCAACATTTCACTGTATTGCCCTAAGGCTGGAGCTTCTTATTATTCAAATGACAAGTACCTTTGGATTCAGTGGGGTCGTGCTAATTGAAAGCAGTTCAGAAGCTAGGACATGATTTGCTAAGATACTTAGGCACCTAGAGATGTTTCACCTGCTTTGGTGTTTGGAAAATACTATCTTTAGGCTCCTAAATACCTTTGAACATCTCCCACCAGGTTCATTCATTCCCACATGGAACATCCCAGGCATATTTTCTCCTCCTCATCTCTGTTCTGGATCATCCTGTCCAGATCTGGACCACTTTGCTCACCTTGTTTGCCTCTTGGTTCTTTTCTTATCTTCCAGGTCCGATTCTTAGAGCAACAGAACAAAGTCCTGGAGACCAAATGGACACTTCTGCAGGAACAGGGACAAACCGTTACCAGAAAGACCCTGGAGCCCCTCTTTGAGGCATACATTAACAACCTCAGGAGGCAGCTAGATAGCTTGTTAGGAGACGGACCAAGACTGGACTCAGAACTGAGGAATATGCAGGACCTGGTAGAGGATTTTAAGAACAAGTAAGAAACTATACATTAACATCTAGACCATATAAGTAAAACCAAGGCAGAAGTCTCATGCTGTATTGAGTGCTCTTTATGTCTGTGTTATTTTGCATTTGTTCTTGACAAAGCACGTGCAACTATGGAGCTAGCTTCTGATCTCATGTGTAAAAACAGAGTGTCCCCTTTTGCTAGCCTAGATTTAGAGAATCAAAAACCAGCCTCCAGTCCCAGTTTTACTTCGATCGCTGGATTTAGGAACAGGGAAAACGGCTCAGAATTTGCATTTGTTCAAGATAAAGCTGAGGAGTTTAAACTTCCTATTTGACCAGTATAATCTATGCACGCATCACAAAATTCAACATGATTGCAGTCTAGGAGACTGTAATCCAGGAGTTCTCATATAATAGGCAACATTAGTTGGCAAGACTTAGCAAGTTCAGAGCTGAGAAAATTACAAGATCAAAAAATGTCCAGATAGATAGACTGCATGAAGTTGGCATGGAAAGGTAGTATGAATTCCCTTCTGGTACATGTATGTGTTTTCCCGTTTTTTTTTTAATAGTCATGTATGGCACAACACAACGAATGATCTTTGTTGTTTGTGATAGCACAGTTCCTAGAAAAGTAAATACTGCAGAGGAAGTATCTTTTTTCAAAACCCACTTTGGCTCCCAGTTCAGTTTTCATTTTTTCTCATGCCCAGGTCCTTTTTGAAATCCATTTGCATGAAGGTAGTGCAAGTTAGAAAGCTGGCATAAACCTGTCTGGATACATCCGGATCACCATGCCGCTGCCAAGATAAGATTTTTCTTCTGTGTGTCTAGCCAACACCCCACCTATCTGATCAGAAGCTATGGCCCTGAGCCATAAAATTTTGCAGAAATGTATTTTTAGCATAACGAGTTACTTCTAACTCAAAGATTTTAGCTTCTTTTATTTCTTAGTGAAGATTTATAGTGAGTTCTTCAGAATGTATTTCTAATTTCTTTATGGACTTGTAAATAGCCATTGCATCTAAAGCCTATTATTAATTTTGCATTGGGAAAAGGTTACCAAAATATAAGATGCTTTTCCTAATGATCTTAACCTCCTTTCTGCAAAGATTGGTGCATGTATTTAAAACACAATGAGCAGGATATTTTGCTTCAGACAGTATAAAGTTAACTCTTTGCACATCAGTAACCAATGAATAACTCATCTATATTTGAAGCAAGTGTATTACTGTGAGTTTCTGTACTATCATTCAAATGCAGAGTGTTTCTTCAGTTAAAGAACATCGACACTACTTCCTAACCATAGCCTCTTCGCATATCACAAGCTTTTATCCTCCAAATAGCCCTGTCAGGTCGGAAAGAGATATCCTTCCCATCTACAGATGCAAGAAATGATGTATAAGCTACAGATGGACTTTTCAAAGTGGTTTAGCAGCCAAAGCCACCTCTGAAAATGGGACTTAGGACATTACATGTCTTTTATCCCCAGGGCATGCTTGTGTTGCCACTGAGAGGCATGACTGAGATGCGTAGGCACGCCCAAGCTAGATTTAATAAAGTTAGCTCAGGCAATAACAGCAGCAAGGAGGCAACATAATAAGCTAGCCACCAGGGTCCCTACAAACTCATGTATCTCGTCTTCAGTGCTAGAGGTAACCCAGATAAGACAAAGTAAAGCAAGATTGGGCATGCTTTCCCATGCCGCGATCAAACCACTTCCACTGCAGTGTAGATGCACCTTAAGTAACCCTACCGAGGAAGTCTTCTGGAAGAGCAGAGACTTGCACCCAACACATTGGACGATCCCCTCTCAAGCAGCTCATCTGAAATACTACCATTGGCCACTTCAACCTATATAGAATAAATACTTCACGCTGTTAGCTAGGATTGGCAACAGTTTTGAATCCGCCCGGCTTTTGTCCTTATCTCTGCTTTCTGTGTGGGTTATCTGGGTTGGCCTAAACTAATGGAGCTGTCTCTCTCCTTTATCCCAACAGATATGAAGATGAAATAAACCGGCGCACTGCTGCAGAGAATGAATTTGTGATGCTCAAAAAGGTGAGTGTGGCAGGGTTATGGGCCTGACCCTGAGATGATCTCAGGACCCAAAGCCACAAAGACTCATAGAGACTCAGCCCCTAGTTGGGACCTTGATGAGCTCCATCAAGAAAAAAACTGTGGCTTAGTTAACACCGGTTGGAGCTCTGTCCCATCCATACATTGATGCATCCTAGTGTGGGCTTTGTTGCTTAATCAAATTCTGACTCCAGCAAAGCCAATGCACGTTCAGTCCTTCACTCCAGTGGGGTCAGAATACAGCAGTAACCTCATGCCAGGTCACAGCCAAAAAGCCTTCCTGAGCACTGAAGGGCTCCTTTAGGGCTGGAGGAAATGCAACCTTTTCAGAGCTGGGTGGAAGGAGAAAAAACAGTCCATGACTGTTTTCATGTTTGTCCTATGGCAGACAACAGCCAGGGGATGTGTAGAGCCGCAAATCCATTAGTGCCAAGACAAATGTCCCAAAATCGCACTGTTCCTCCACCCCCAGTTCATCGTAGCATGGACTGCAAAGGCATTGCCCCTCCTGATAGGACTTTCTGTGGCCATAGGAGACTCTATGCTTCATCCCCACGTCCCTTATTTTTGCTCTCTTCTCTTTAGGATGTAGATAATGCTTACATGAACAAGGTGGAGCTGCAGGCCAAAGCAGATTCACTGGCAGATGAAATCAACTTCCTGAGAGCTCTCTATGATGCGGTAAGCAGTCCACCCCACTGCTTTAGACACCTACAGAGTTCCCTGCCTCAATAGCAGCGGGGAGCACAAAGAAGTCATGAGGCAAGGCTGGTCGGGTCAGCATGCTGATGACCACGGTCCCAGCACACTGTCTTGCCCGATTATTGTCAGCTCCCCGCAGTCACAGAGTCATGGTCACAGAGAAGCAGGACTGGGAGGGACCTCAAGACATCATCTAGATCGCAGAGCGTGAGTGACTTGGCCTTGTGTATCTTGCAGGAGCTGTCCCAGGTGCACCAGCAGGTGTCGGACACCTCTGTCATCCTGTCCATGGATAACAACCGTAGCCTGAACCTGGACAGCATCATCTCAGATGTCAAGGCTCAATATGAAGACATCGCGAACAGGAGCCGGGCGGAGGCTGAGTCTTGGTACCAGAGCAAGGTGAGCTACCAGATAGTGAACCAGGGAAGGCTTTACCGTGAACTTTGATATATACAGGTTCACATTCATGTTGCACCAGGCATCAAGTTGGCTTCTTGTACTTAGTAATAGTAGTAGTAGGCTATTATATAAGGGTTATTTAGGGAGTTTCAGCCACTTGGTGCAGGTCTTACAATGAGACAATGTGCAGAGCTGGCATTAGGACCCAGGTGTCCTGACTCCCCAATCCACTCTAACTATTGGACAAAGCTGTCTACAGCTATTCATGCCCCCCTTCGTGTCTGCTTTCTGTGTCGTGGCAGTGACAACTGCGGCTCCTTGCTCTTGACATGCCTGTAAAGGATACAAGGAAGCCACGGGGGCATAGCCAAGTTCTAGACAACTGTGCTTGCTAACGAGTCAAAGTTTAGTGCCTGCGTACGCTGCATCTTCATTAGGGTCAGGTGGCTTCTGTAGTAAGTGATCTATCCCTTATGGGGCTGAGATGCTATTGAGAGGGATACTACCCAATTTCTAGGAAGTGCATAAAAGTCAATGATTTCCCTGCTTCTCATTCTTGCTCCGGACAATCAGTATGAGGAGCTGCAGGTCTCCGCTGGGCGTCACGGAGAAGACCTCCGCAGCACAAAGATGGAAATCACAGAGATCAACCGGATGATCCAGAGGCTGCGCAATGAAATTGATAACGTGAAGAAGCAGGTAGAGCGAGGGCAGGGGAGGGCTCCTTGCTTGTGGGAGGCTGGTTGCCCCTGGGAAGAGCAGAATGGGGGTGGATGGAGATTGTGTGCAGTAGCAGCCCCCTGCTCCCTCTCTGCTTTTTCCATGGCATGATGTCGAGTGGTCTTGGTGTCTATAGCTGGGTGAGAGGGTTTGAGGAACTGAGTCCTTCGATAAACAGTTGCATATGAACACAAGGGGCTGGACTTGATGGCCCAGGAAGCCCCATGGAGGCCTGTACACCTTTATCCTAGGAAACAGTTATGGGACTTGCAAAGCCACCCCCGCTCACTGTGTTGGAGCATAAGGCAGTACTTCTATAGTAGATGTGGTGGTTGGAGATGCCCATCTGAATCCCACAAGCCAAATTTGGGGATAACAGGGAAACTGGACACATTAGTGATTGCACCAGAAGAGAGAACCCAAATGGGCACGGGAAGAAAGCTATAGTGTGAGCAAATGGTGGGTCCCACATTCAATCACCCACTTAAGCAGCAACACTGCAATTCTTGCATTGCAATTCTTGTAGTGCGCCAACCTTCAGGCCGCCATCGCTGAGGCCGAGGAGCGTGGTGAAATGGCCCTCAAGGATGCCCGGGCCAAACTGGCTGACCTGGAGGAAGCCCTACAGAAGGCCAAGGCTGACCTGGCCCGCCAGCTGCGGGAATACCAGGAGCTGATGAACGTCAAGCTGGCGCTGGACATCGAGATTGCCACCTACCGCAAGCTGCTGGAGGGTGAAGAGAGCAGGTGAGAGCACGATACAATACTGCAATCTGAAAAGTCCAGCAAACCTTGCACTCAGTGGCACCCGTTGCCCAAGTGCAAGCTGAAAGCCTGGGCCAGACAGTGGTAAACTATAGCAAGGGGCAGCATAAAGGTATGTGTTAGTCTGAGCCCTCCTGGACCAAGACGCCCTTCCTCTGTGTACAGCCCCAGCACATTGTGAGTGTGCTGTGATTGAGCAAGCACGGTGTGATTCACACCTGCAGTTTGCAGTGCAGAAGTACCCACTGGCTGAGGATCTCTGGCTAGTGTTAGGAGTGTCAGATTAGACGGTATGGTCCTCTTTTGGCCTTAACAACCAGGACCCCTCTCTGTATTGCCTTTTGGATTGGCTGCTTCCCTTACACGCCTTCCCATCCCATTCTTTCCTAACAGGCTGGCGGGAGAAGGAGTTGGAGCCGTAAGCGTGTGTAAGTATCTGGTCTTTTGACCTCTCCTGGGTTGTGTTGCGGTAGCGGGCGTCGGGCTTTTTCTTCCCTCCGGGAACCGGGGAGATCTAACCGAGTTGGTCATTGCTTTGTTTTCTCCAGCTGTGGTCAGCTCCTCCACAGGAATGGGATACGGCGGTGGAAGCTTGGGAGGAGGCCTCGGAGGCGGGCTCGGCCTTGGCGGTGGTGGAGGCGGCGGATCCGGTTACGGCATGGGAGGCGGCGGATCCGGTTACGGCATGGGAGGCGGCGGATCCAGTTACAGCATGGGAGGCGGCTTCGGCATGGGAGGCATGGGTGGCAGGAGTGCCACCAGTATGGGAGGCGGTGGGGGCTACGGGTCTGGCGGCGGCATGGGGCTCAGCATGGGAGGCAGCTTCAGCGGTGGAAGCGGCAGGGGCCTGAGCTCCGGCGGGGGAAGCAGCTCCAGCATGAAAATCGTATCGAAGACCACTACAAGCAAGAAAACCATTCGGTAAAGTGGAGGCGGCCTCCAGGAGACCCTGCCTGAATGAAAGCACATTTCCTACCTGCTGAGCGCAAGTGCAGCCTTTTGAATCCATGGTGTAAATAGCTGAGCTAATCTTCTCGTTCCTTCTCCTCTTCCTGGAGGAAAGGGCACAAAAAGGCTCTTCCAACAGGAATCGGGAAAGTCGTCGGCCAAAGCAAACCACTTCCTAAGCCGTTGTTGCAATCTGTGTCACAACCGAGGTCCTATGCCCCTGACTCGGCACACTACTCCAGCACGTGTCCTGACGTTAGCTCTCCCTGGAGTCCTTTACACTCCGTTGGACCAGGACCTGTGCAATCCTCACTGCCAAATAGGCAGTCAAATCCATCACTTACAGATGTGGCGAGAGGGCCGTATCATGGCCGAGTGGTGCCTGGACTCGCTGTAATGTCTTTTCTCTGCAATCGTTTTCTGTTCGAGCATGCTTAGTTTGCTCTCAAAAAAAAAGAAAATCACAGCTAAAGCCTCGTGAAATTACAGGCACCGTGTTCTCGCCAAAACAGTGTCAAGGCCGAGGGATATAATCTGTCTCCGGCATGTGTTCTAACCTGTAGGTTTCTTGGTTGCAGTGATAAGTGCCCCCAATGAGTGACACCCGGGAAAAGGCTATTGCTTTTTGGTGCTGTATGAACTACAGTCCTGATTTCTTATTACTTCTTTGTCCTTCTGGCTACAGCCCTTGACTTTCTGACTTACAGTACTGAATGTGTAATAAAAAGCATTTCTCATTTTTAAACCTGTCTTTTGTGCTGTGCTTTCCGCCCACCCGCACCTCCCCTTCAAAATATTATGGGTGGTATCCTCCTAGAAATGTGTCTCGGCTGGCGATCAAGGCTGCATTTAGCAGCAAGCATTTGGCACATGTTGAAAGTTGGAAGTTGAATACCCTGGCTCCCTCCAGTGGCAGCTACCTAGGATTTTTTTTGCCTCCAGCTTTCTCACTCCTTTTACTGGTTCCAGTGGGCTAATGAGACTCCCCCAGTCCGAGTACCGGGGTGCATCAGCACAAAGCTCTGCCTTATTATGTATGGCCTGAAAAATCAGACACCAAGTGAAGAAAAAAGTAGCTGGTGTCTATCAGAGAAAGGAACGCTGGCCGTATCCCGCGTGGGTATCTGTAAGTAGTGCTAATCGACAGAGGGGAATTCAAGTCACACTGGCTCGTGAGGGTTAAATCTACATTTTGTCTGCTTCCCAGCCTAGTGCTCAAACCAGTAGCCCATAAGCTAGACATTAGCAAGGACTTTTCCAGCTGTCCCCTTGAAGATGGTCTCCTGGGCAGCAAAGAGAAGAAGGTCTGTGAGGCCAGGAAAGCACACCCAAGCTTTTGGGTGTGCGGTGTAGTGAGAAAATGGCAGCACTTAAAAAACCAGGGGCTGCGGGCTCTAGCCAGGACTCCTGCTCCTAGTTGGAGATACACGTCTGTGCTATTTTTTATCGATGACTAAGAAAAACAGGGTACAGTGGCTCAGCTTCAAGAGAAGGGGTGAGCAGGGCTCTGTCTACTAATGCATCAGAAGTGGCTTGATGGTTAAACCACTACAATAGCCAGAAGAGCGCAGGTTCAAGCTCTGCTCTGAGTGGGTGCCCCCACCCCAGGCACCCCTCCTGCCTTTAACAGACACTAGTTGTGGGTTTTGCCCAGCCACTTTCGAGATTTAAGAGCCACATCCCTGGCCCAGCCTGCAGAGCCCTGCGGGTGCTTGTGCATTGACTTTGCCCATGGGATTGGATCACAAGCTGCGCTGGTGCCAAACCCAGCAGCTCTGCATATTTTGCCCTTACGGGGAATTAGGTGCAGTGGGAAAAATGTGCCCCTGGCAAATAGCAAGAGTAGCAAAAGGGGCTAGAGAGCCAAGGGGGAGGAAAGGGAGGTCTCTGTAGAGTACCACCGTCCGGAAGGGAGCTCCTTGAACCACTCAGAAACGTGCAGCTATCCCGGTGGGAAGTGCTAACCAGCCAAAGCTAGCAGACTTGGTGTGGGCCGATCCACTGTGGGAGCTGGGGTGAGGGCACGTGCCCTTAGGAAGGTGATGCCCTTGGCTTGTGGGTCTAAGCCTTGCCACAAGCTGCACAGGCCCATCAGGGCACTGTGCTGGACAGTCAGTCCGTTGTAGGAGAAGAGACTATTTGGGTTTATGACAGACACAGTTCAAACCTCAGAGGCACCCGGCCCAGACAGATCTGGCCTAGATCCTCCCCAACTTGCTGGTTGTCCTCCCTGCCTCCCGAGCCCTAAACCCACTGCACGTGCACGCACACACATACACACACACACACACACACACACTCGCTGTGGGGGAGCCAGACAGCTGCCAATGGCAGCTGGCACCAGCTCTCACCAGGCTTCAGATTGCCTTCCCCCCACCACCTCTCCCTGTCTCCCCTGGGGGGGAACATGCAAGATGTCCAGATGTGCTCCAGTCCCCACTGCCTCCCGTACAGGATCCTCCAGGGTCGGGATGACACCTCCCCCTGCTTCTTTTGCATCCCCACATCCCTTTCTCCCAGCCAATCACTGACAATGAGGCACCTCCCCTGCTTTCCAACTGCAGAATAAAATGCTGAAGGCCTCACTGCTCTGCATATGACCCTGGTGCACAGAGCAGTCATGGCCCGTTTGATGGGAAAGCATCAGCATTGCAAGCGCTCTCTGTGAGATGCCTGATGTAGGGTGACCACCTTTTCAAAATGTAAAGGCGGGACACACGGCCACCTCTCCCCGCTGCCCTGTCCTTCCTGCTGGTGGCACAGCTGGAGCAGAGCTGAGCAGGGGTGGAGGCAGACTCTGGGCTCCCCACCATGTTGCCTTTCCCCTGGGAGCCCCACACCAGCAGCAGCAGGGGACACAACTGCATGCCGCCCCCACCGCTGCTGGGTGGGCAGGGGGCACACAGCTGGTGCGAGGGTCCCAAGGGAAAGGCAGCAGGGTGGGGAGCCCCAAGCCTGCAGCCGGCAACCCACATCCACCCCCACCCCATGCACAAATCTGGAGGGGGTACATGCCCCCCCCCATGCTTCCCCCTGAGGGGTGAGTGCAGCAGTGGGAAGCTGCCCTCCCACCCCTAGTGCCCCTGGACAAGCCATCTGTGGCTCCATCCTACTCCCCACCCTGGCCCTGGGCCCTACACACTGCCTGTGGCTGGGCAGGGCCCCCAGTCCCTGCCTCTGCCCCACTCCCTCCCTCACCATAGGGGCCTCAATTTGCACCCCTCTCACCTCCCCACATCTCATCCCACCATAGACTTACCTACAGGGAGCTGCTCTCCATGCTGCCTGGGACTATATTCCTGGCCATGTGCACATGTATCCCTTCCCCCTGCACATGTGCCCATGGCACCCCCTGCGTCCAGCTCTTGGCAGTCCCAAGCAGCCCCTTGGAGGCTGGAATGCTGCCCGCCTGCAAAGGGAAACCTGCCGTTTCCTGTAGTTTTCTGCAGTGAATGGAAAACCCAGAACCCTGCACAACGCTGCAAATCCGAGACAAATGTTGTCTTGGAGTCATGCGGTCCAGGACCTGGACTTGATGTTCCCATTCCAGGACTGTCCCACCGTGGGAACTGACAGGTGGGGACTGGTGGGCACAGTCAAGCCAGGGGCCATTACAGAGCATGAAGTGAAGCCCAGGCTATATGAAAAGACTCAGAGCCCACACCACAGGTGTACTCAGCACACCAGGACCACCCTGCTCCTCCCCAGGAGAGAGAGCCTCAAAGGGCTGTGATGCCCTGTGTGATCAGTGCAATGAAGGCCACACCAGGGAAGGATGCCCCCACAACCTGCCCATCCTATCTGGACCCAGAAAAAGGGCTCGGTAGCTGCAGCTCCACTACTGCTAGATAGTTCAACCCCTCCTTGCCAGTGAGCCCTCAAGAGCAGGGCACAGTGGAGAACCAGTGAGCTGCTGCCAGGAGGTGCTGGTGAGCTGCCAGGGGGCCCACAAGAGCAGGGCACAGTGGAGCGCACAGAGATGATGTATGCAGCATAGGGAGGCTCTGACAATGCACCCATGGCCTCCCTACAAAAGGATTCTCCCCTGCGGATATCACCACCCCAGTCCAGCCTGCACACCCATGGGTGGCCTTGGTTCTGTAGACCCCAGGCTGATGCCCTCTGATGCAGTGAGTTTGAGACCCCACATGTGCACACAGGCATGTACACACACACAGACACACACACACACACACTCTCTCTCTCTCCTTCTTTCAGGTGCAGCCCCTCAGGTAGAGGATTGCCATGCTGTGCAGTGTCTATGCTATGACATGAAAATCCTATCGGTGGCCTGTTTGAAGACCTCATTGCACACTACAATTAAGACATGTTTTATTTACATCAGGGGTGTCAAAGATAAGGCCCATCGGCCTGATCCAGCTTTCAGGGTCCCACCATCCAGCCCCTGGTGCTGCCTCAGGGTCTGGAGTTGACCCACACACTGCAGAGTATATGGGACTGGTCCCATGTCACATACAGAGCTAGCTCCAGTCAACCTGGCACATGCCCCTGTCAGTCTACAACATAGGACACACACACACCATCTTTCCCAGCTGGTCAGAGAAGCACGTTGCACGTGGCACCTGCTCCAGCCAATTTGGGACCAGCTGCATGCAGCACATCCTCTGGTCCCCGGCTGCTCCGGGCAGGCACTGTGTGTAGCGTGGTCCCTGGATTCGCCCTGCATGGGCACTGTGTGAAGCTAGGTCCTATATTGGCCAAATGCCTAGTATGATCTGGACAGGGCTGGAGGTGGCTGTGCAGCAGGCAAGCAGCTGTTTGCCATCTCCCGCACCACACCGGAGCTGGGGAGGACCACTCGAGTTACCTCTGTAGAGCAATTCCCTGGTAGCCGAATGTGTGATACTTAATACCACCTGGAGATACCCAAACTGTGAAAAGTCCTAACTTCACTACAAGATGATTTAGGGGTATAGGTTGCAACCGTGTTGATCTAAGGACACAGGAAGACAAAGTTCTTTGGATAAATCTGATATCCTTTATTAGCCCAACTCAGATAGTTGGAAAAATTCTTCTTTGCAAGCTTTCAGAAACAAACCCCCTTCATCAGGCTGAGGAAGGGTGTTTGTGCCCAAAAGCTTGCTAAGAAGAATTTTTCCAACTATTTGAGTTGGGCTAATAGAGGATATCAGATTTATCCAAAGAACTTTGTTTGCCTACAAGACGATGGCACTTTACCTGCATTTTACTGCTTGTCTATACAGATGCTGGTGTTTTAAGTGCAGCCGATACATCCTAAATGCAACATGTGATGAGGCCCTGAGCTTGCCTACAGCTCTCTCCACAGCTGACCAAGTGCACTTGTGAGCAAGTATATGGACTGAGTGCTGCATCAGCCAGCACCAGGGCTAAGGAAAGTGTCTGCGGTAGGGTCTGCACACAACTTGGCCACCAAACAACCCTGCAGCAGCCGCTGGAGTGAGCAGCAAAATCCTGCTAGTGATGGTCCTGGGTCATAGATTCATAGATGCAGGGTCATAGATTCATAGATTCATAGATGTTAGGGTCGGAAGGGACCTCAATACATCATCGAGTCCGTCCCCCTGCATAGGCAGGAAAGAGGGCTGGGTCTAGATGACCCCAGCTAGATGCCTATCTAACCTCCTCTTGAAGACCCCCAGGGTAGGAGCCAGCACCACCTCCCTTGGAAGTTGGTTCCAGCTCCTAGCCGCCCTGACAGTGAAGTAGCGCCTCCTGATATCTAGTCTAAACCTACTCTCTAAC